TATGCGTACAATGCATGCATCACGGTGTTTCTGGATGCATGCTGCCGGTGAACGACATCGACGATCATTCGGCAATGTCGATGGTCGTCATTTGGGTATTCAATTTGATCGCTGTATACTATATTGTAGCCAATATACTTGGATTGATCGATCGATTTCACAAATCGCCAGTCAGGTCCAGTTTTTGACAAAAAGGACAATACCAACAGCAATTTCACCATCGAAGGAGCGCGCCGCAGTCGCATCTCAGACAGCACACGACTCAGATACTTGTCCGGAATTAAGCAGGTAGTCAACTGGTCAATCATGACAGGGAAGCCAGAGCTCCTGATGCCAAGCACCAAGCATATGGGTCACATGACCTTACTGTTAGATCTGCGCGTGTTTGCGTACGAGAACTTTTTGGAGTTTATTGTCTGGACAGTGCGGGAGCAAGATGTTGGTCTAGGCGCCCTCAGCGCCTGTTATTGGCGAGTCTCGTACATCACCACGGTTTTTTGGTTGGCCAGTTCGCGCCAAACCACGCACTGTTATCAACGCCCTTATTTGTGAGTAGCGATTTGGTGTCAAAGCTACGCCCGTTGATTTTTTTGGGGACCAAGTCCACGTTTTTGTTTGCCTCAGGCATCCCGCCCCACGTGGAGTTACTACGGCAACTGGATCGAAATGAAAAATCGATCCAAAGTATTCCTGATATTGTTTTAAATGGTGTCCGGCAAATCGTCGACGAAAGGGGTCTTGCTGCTGGCAACATCACTCAGGCGTTCTTTGAAAGCACCCTCTCCCAAGCCATCGCAGCGGTTGTGCAACAAGCTCAACCTTCTTATCCATCCCCATTATCAACCGACGAAGTCGATCTGAACTGCTCTGTCTTTTTATGGGGTGGTCGGTTGCACATGCTTCCAGAATACAAATTTCCAAGTGTCAATTTGGCAACTGCATGGAATTTATGGTGGCGCGGCAACCCTGCACAGAAGATCATTCCGTTTCGTAAAACATCTGCCTGCGATTTATCGCTGTTGTCCGAACGCAAAGAGTATTACGAATGGAAATATATTATGGAGCGAATGTCAACGTTCTACACAGCCAAGAATGGCTCACCTCCATCCCCTTCGGCCACTGCGCTGGAATTGACCGCATC